TCTGCGCTCAGCGTAGCCACTTTTCTCGATTGCGCGTCACGTCGAACGTCGATTGCAGAACAAAAACATGCTATCAGGCCAATAGGCGGTTACTCAAACATGCAGGACTCACTAGTGCATTAAGCGGACGAGGCTGGCTTGCTAGCGACAAAAACAAACAAAAAAAAACAATATCGCAATGAATAGGTTGGGGAAAACACGATCGAATCTCGGCGGTGTCAATGTTGCTTCGATCGTCATCAAAATAAATGTAAAATGACAACTAATACAAACCATGAAGCGCAGAAAAAACACGTACAACAACAGCAGGCTCAAATGAAAAAACAGCAACAAGCTCAATATCAATGCTTTCGCGCCCCATTAACATGCCCCTTTACATAAAGCCATTTAGATAAGTCACCTGCCTTCCCATTTTCTTTATCCCTAGATTCTCTGTATATTGACTTATTAGCGGTGACGTGATAACCACAAGTTCCATTGCGTTCCAATTATTTCAATTGTTATCATTCTTTATAAGACCTCGCGCAAGGACCTTTCTGGACCAGAATAACGTGAGCTAGAGAAAGGACTTCTTTTTTACATTTTAGAAAAAAAACGTCGCTACAACTATAATATTCATAGTATGCTTTAGATATATCATCTTTAGCAGCTGTCACACAGATTCAAACTAGGACCACCTATGGTCATCAGCCTGGGGGATGTCCGAATCAAAGGGCTGAGATCTACTGACGCGCACTGATGCACTAACAGCAAAAATATTAGCTCCGATATTGGAACTCTATAAACAGAAAAAAGAAATAGATTACTACCGCAATTTGTCTATGACGAGATTCGATTTAATTGTTGTATGTTGTTTTTTTTTTTTCGTATTATTTGTTCTACTATCAATAGAAGAAAACTGCAGATAATAGAGCTTGCCACATGATGCTAATAGGCCTCTCATAAGATGATAAACCGTAGATTTACTATTATGCGATCCAATGTTCGCCTCGAACTAATGCCCATTGCAGCCAGTTTGTTAGTCATCGAACAATATATCTCCCGAAACAAAAATTAAAAATAAGCGTTCAAAGAAACCGACAATCATTATCGAACGCAATCTGTCATCGATCAGAGACTAGACGAAAATTTTGGCAGTGTGAACACTGTGCACCGTATTTATTTTACAGGAAGCAAGAAAAATGCCGACACCGGGAGCATGATTCACCATTGGCCAAATGTACTCGCGTTCATCTGCTGCTTTTTTCTCAAGCCAGCTTTTCTATTTGTCATTGTGGTTCGTGCCGTTTTCATGTTACTGCATAAATTTTACTGGTAAAATCACTGTAGTTTCGCCAATATTGCGATAATTTCTATCTTTACATTTTCAGGTATTATGCTTTTTGTTCTAAGCTAGAAATGTGCTCCGAAAAAACCTATAACAACGACGACAACAATAACGGTACACATTGTGTTGCCAGGCTCATTTTCGACAACAATATTCATAAATCGTCGATGCCCTGTCGCCGCTCAGGAAAACAGTCGCTGTGGATGCAATGCGTTTATTTAAAGCCAGTATTAAAAAAATAAGAAAAGTTAATTAAAAATGTGAAGAATATATTTCAAAATGATTAGCGAGTGGGTTAGGTTACTAATCGAGAGGTTATATAAATATATGGGTTATCTTTATTGAATACGGACCGCTATGGATTATATGGACCAAAGCTTGCTTCTAGCTATTTTTCAAGAGGGCTAACGCCATGGGAAAAGATTTATATCAGTACATTCGTCAAAGGCCATTTTACTGATAAATTGAATACAATGGAAAAAGAAATAGGCCCAGTACAATTCATGATCCTCAAGAAAAAATGAATTATAGACACTCGTGTCGTTAGATTACAGAGGTCCACAAAATGCGTCTTCATGGGCGAGAAATAGGGCTACATGAGCCGCTAATAATTTCATTTAAAGAAGTCCATAATTAAAAGGAGCGATTTTCTTCATAGAATAGGCGATGATTACAGCTGGAGAAGCCGACGCTTTATACCAAGTCAAATTCACATTACGTTCAGCTGGGCAGTGTAAAATGGGCTTTGTAATATCTCGGATACTGGCATGCCCACGAGCTGCATTGTATTGGGAAAGTTAGAAGGAATCGTTTTCCGAAGCTAACCTAGCCACGGTGAAACTGGCTATGCATTACCTTGGTGTAAACTATCCTCCACGCCATTTTCGTCCGTAATTATGATTACCCACATTGTGTTATTTTTTCGAGCGATGCGTTAGGCCAATACAGTCATCAATATTTTTTTAGAAGCTACCATGTGTGACGCGTCAACGACATGTGCTATAACTAGTGCAAAAATACGATGTGTTACTTTGGCTTAACATATGTGCAGATAGTTGTTTCAATTTTCTGCAAAAATAGTATCGACGACATCTACTTTAATAAATGCTCAGTGCAGTAGTCCATAGAACCCAATTTCGTCCTAACAAAATATTTGCATCGGCGTAGGGCGATCATGTCGTATGGTAATGACTCGAGGTAATGACTTCTAGAGAACTTACTTGTTACTTGCTCCGAGTTTAACTTTAAAAAGTAGCTTTGAGATCAGCTAGGCTGTGGTAGGAAAATGAACTATGTTTTGGATCACTTTTTCGAAAAAAAATTCAATAGAATACGAAAAAATTGCTTAGGTGTGCCATGCTGACCAGATTTTATAAATTCGATTAAAGAAAAAATTCTAAAGTTAAAATTCTAAACAAAACACTTGACCCTGGTGTATAGAAGAAATTTACACAACCCGATAGTATTAAAATTCTATACTAACCTGCCTTTGCTACAGAAAGGAAGAGAATGACCCATATAGCCTTACATGATCCTTATATAATCCTTTGTTCAAAAATTAGTGAGTTGTTTGTTCCTGATTGATAGGTATTCATTTATCTCTCTCAATTCAAATTATTCCCTTCTCAGCAGTCTTTGTTAAATGCAATAATATACTTACATCGCCGCTTCTCCCAGTCCTTAAAATACTTTTGAAATTTAATCGTCGGAACAGCCCTCAGATCAATCAACAATGTTTTTAATCATTTTTCTTATCGTGGCTCCTTCAACAGATTTTTCTACATTTTTGGGAATAAAGATCGTGGGAGCTGGATCGGCTGAATATGGGGGTTAAGATAACACGGATTGAGTTTTTTTAGCTAAAACTGCTGGACGAGTAGCAGAGTGTAAACCGGTGTATTGTTGTGATGGGGAACCCAAGACCAGCTGTGCCCTCGTTCTGATACCTCGCGTTAAACAGGCTGGCGCAATCCTCCTACAACTTCCTGATAGTACTCTTTGATGCCGAATGCCATAAACTAATAATTTTCTAACGATGTACGACAATCGTGAAGACCTCTGATCCGTGGTCGCTGTCACCAGCCCTTCTATATGAGGATTGTTTTTGACATATTACGGTCCTTCCTCGAAACATTCGAATCATCTGTTTACTTAAACTGTATTCAGGATCCGAAAACATTCTGCTATATTCGCAAAGTATCTGAACGGTTACCCCTATTTTTTACATAAAAACATGCTGCTCCATTTGGGAAAATTATAGAACACTCAATATATGGTCTTACACAATCTCACCCGAATTCGTGAGATTGCATCAGATTCTTATGAAAAATCACTTGAATGTAGTGAGAGTTATGCTATTTTTGAGACAATAAAAGTGAACTACAAGGTATCATATAGCGGCGCGCAAATTCAAATGATTCATTCATTTGCGAGCAATGTAGTATTTGTATTTAGTTCAATCCGTCTACATAATAAAAGAATCTTGGACGTACTTGAATTACACTGCTACCATTTTTTTGCCGGTGGCAACACTTTTGCCTATATATATATACCTCACGGACTTAGAAGCAACAAATTGTGTCAAAGCAACACTGTTTAGATAGAATTCTGTTGAATTTAAGTTCAGCGCTTGATCTTTAACATACGGGAGCGCTAGACAGCTTAAGTTAAAGAAAAAAAAATTAGAAAAGTTATAATAAAGAATATTAGATGTAGAACCTGCACAGTCAGGTGCCGATGTCGGCAACAAGGTGGTCTACGCAGAAGCCACTCTGAGGAGTGCTCGGTGATATGAAAAATTTTTAGTTAAGCCACGGTAGCACGCCGTTTAAAGCGAGCGAAATACAGCCAAACTGCGTTCTGAAACTTGTAATGATCATTTCCTGGCCTTTAATCTTGTAGTATCTCTTACCGTACGACACGCACCATTTCTACATACTATCCAGATACGAGGTGTACAGCTCTTTAGTATAACAATGTCCGAGACAAGGCCCGATAGTCAGCAGTGGTCTTGAGATTTGCTTTTATAGGTCGCGCACCTCAGTCCGGCTCTCTTTATCTCCTGTGGTGAAATTGGGTGCGCTTTAATAAGAATCGGGCATTAATTTACTTTTGTGTTCAGAAGCGACAGCCACTTCCATGTCGGAACGTGTTCTGAATTTGTCGCAACCGGAAATCACTTCCGTTGTAGCAAGCACGACCTGTATATAGGCTATTACGTGAGGTAGGTCGACTGTCATCATCATTTACTGCCAATCTCTTTCGAAGTGCAGAGTCCCGCCATAGGCGCTCTTTATTAAAAATCTTCTGAGAACAAATAGCTAGCACAAGATTATTTAGCCGTATTGCAACCGTATTTTTAGGCGGGTCACCTTTTGCGACGTAAATATAGTGCCAACCTGCTTACGGTTACAACAACGACCGTTAGAATCTTCTATGATAATTACTTGTCTCTACCGAACCGAATTGGCAGTATCGCCCCACTGGATTGCGTTGTTTATGTCTGAAAGTATATATGTTAATTCCGGATACTGTTCCGATCGAAATCGTCCCAGTCCTATCTTCCAACAGCATTCTCAGTCCACGAATGGTATAGGTTTAATAGTAATTTTACTTTTTTTCTTTAACACCTGCATATGTCATTTAAGTTTATTTCCATTTTTTTTTTGTTGTCTTTTAGGATAGAGCGATAGTATACTTCGAAGAACTCAAATCTTTCTTTTCAGCCAGTTTTAATCTTATTTATCATAAAAAAAAGTATGTTTGTACGTATGCCACTTAAAAATATGACTAAATGCTATCATTAAAAACACACCTAATTGGTAGCTAGTTTACCATATCGACAAAATTACATTATTGCAGTCTTATAACACCTTTTATAAAAGTTAAGTCTACCTAAGGTATCCAATCATGTGAAAAGTAATCACTGTTTTTATTTTGCGTTTTTGAAATTCTATCTTGTCCAAATTAAGCATCGTTTGAAATTTCTTTTTTTTAACCTTAGGTTGACACATTTGCGATACGTTGACAAAACGTACAATTGTCCGTCAGATCTATTAAGGATATTTATCACAGACAGTTTGTTGTGAATTTGTGACTCGCAGGAAATATTGAAGCCAAGTGCTTTACTTCAGTGAAGGTGTCACATCTTCACCTAAGAATCGCATATGGTCTACAGATATAAATATTATATAACAAGACGACGTCACATTCAAGATTTCCCACTTTCAGCTGATACTGTACACATAGACGGGTGTAGCTATTTATCAGGGCCTAATTCGAGTGATCAGGTGAAAAATGTTACATTATAGATTGAAACAGCAAAAGTATCGTAGTCGCTTCACTCTCTCCTAAGATCGTTAACTGTTGTGGCACATTCTTCCAAAACAAATCTCTCACCGTAAGTCTGAACCTACCGGTATCACGTGGTTCTCTTTTCAACTTTTGTGTCGGTCGCCATTTACCCTCGTGTCTACTTCTCCGTTTCGTCCTTTCTCAACGAACAGATGACTCCTTCCTTGTTTGTTCGTCGGCCGCTGACGGCGGTCGTTTCCAAGGCTGTCGCTGTTGATAGCGGCACCAGGCTCGCTGGGTCCGTGTGGTCGATCTGGTAGCAGCGACCACCAGGAAAGGACAACGCGCGGGGAAGCCCCGACATTCTTGGTTGCGCCAAGTCGACAGTGAAGACGACGGTGACGGTGATGGTGACGGTAGTGGCGGTGGTGGCGACGGCTGTGAACAAGAAAACGTCGACGTTGGAATTACAGGCGGAAGCACGCGGGAAGAATAACTACGGCAACATTGGCGCCAGCATTGAAGTTGTTGTGTGCTCCTACGAAACTTATCCGTGTGTAGCCGCACCTGACTTAGTCGCTGACGCTGCAAACGCTGCCGTCGTCGTCGCAAATTACGCCAGCTGCTCTTTCCTCTAGCTGTAGCAATGGCCTGTTAATACGGCTGTTATTACTGTTAGCACTCATACAATTTGCTGTTGTTATGAGCGTAAGAAAACCGTGAAGTTCTCGCCTTTGTCCAGTTTGCTAACTTCAGACGCACAAACTCACAGCTCGTTCTATATGCCTGAACAGTGCAATGATGTCCGCTGAAAGAACTGGGAAGTGTTTCAATAAGTACGGTGCCATTGTGTTATGCATAAATTGAATTAATTCACTTATGGTGTGCGACAATAGTCTATTCAGTTATAGAAGGTAGACAAGTGTTAAATGTGATAGAATCATCAACATTAGCAGAAGCATCAGTCAGAAAAACGCCGCAGAAACGAAAATCCTGTATACAGATAACTGTCATTATCAACGAATAGGCACTACAAGCTGAGGTTTGTCCTGTAATGTCTATACCGAATAATGGTTGATTTATAATGACACTCAAGTCTACGACTGTATCCACCTGTATGTTGTTGTGTAATATTTGAAATTAACGCTAATGATAAATTTTTATGATAGATATTAAATGCTCTACGTGTTTTTGACTGTGAGCGGCAGGCTACTAAAACAAAAAAAAAAAATGTTATCGCGTTCCGTATTATAAACAAGGGATTTTTAGCGTGAAAACAATCGGATTAGTTTATCTGAATATCTACGTGATTTCAGAACGCTTTATTAGAGAAGATAAACGTGAAATACGGTGTTTTCCAACTTAGGCGTATAATTGTGTGTATCATTCGATTTTAAAAAGCAGTATGTATACACATAGTCTGAGTGAGCTGCTGGCAACCAAATGGATTAGGAACGTGCGCAGAACTTCTAAAAGCCGGTAGCGGGTGGTCGTCCAGCCGTTCCGCTATAGAATAGAAGAATTATTATTGTGGTCACTCCCGGTATGCCCTTGAGAGAAAACCCTAGAGGTTATTGTTATAAGAGGTGTATTGGTTAACAACCTTTGAAACAAATATGCTCCTGTGCTGCCAAAATAGCCTGTTTGCTTGAGCAGAATCAGGTCTACGAAGAGACCGCACTATGAAAAGTTTCGAAACTTACAGCGGTTCCCATAGAGAACCCAGGAGGACCCAGCAAGCGTATGAGCTCAGGAGTTACCTGCTCAAGAACGTTGCTCTCCGCAGGCGACCAATGAATGGACTTCTCAGTTACACGTATTCAATAGATAACGATAGCTGGCTGTAGCGTTTTCATCATGAAACGAAGCTGAACCAGATGGAAACATAAAGACAAGAAAATAAACAGTAAACGCTTGATATGCCGCTCATAGTCAGATTTTTCTACTAGTCGGGGTGCTGTGCAGGATATGCCAGGTAGAAAATACAAGCTTGCAATATTCGACGAAGGTTACAATAGACTTGAAAACAAGGTGGAACCGATTACTAAGAACAACACCTCTGTGAACTCGTTAAGATATGTCTATTAATTTTCTGATCGGCAAATTTTTCTATCATTCTACGCCATGCGTTCCTAACCGGAACCGACTTCTAAGAATTTGTTATTAAATTCCATTGTTAAAATCACTCAGCCGAAAATCTGAAAGAAGAGATTGTTAGAAATGTATTCTGATTACGGGCTATTTGAAGGAGTTAAGCGGATCATTTGAGGCGGTGAGTCTGTATTAAAATTAATTCGTTACGGATTTAAGAAACGTTTTTTCTAGGAATTGGCCAGGGGAAGGCCTGCTTGCGCGTGCAATATTAATGGCCTTAATGACGGTGTATAAATACCGTCCGATAAATACTGTGAGTAACTATAAATGCATGAACTACAACGAGTACATATCGAGGGTAAACACAATAACGAAATTTCTCTGCCACTTGATATTTGTTAAGCTGACCATAAGGGCAGATTTTCTGGTTACGTTTAATGGTTCCCGAAACGACTGCTACAAGCGATATTCGAACACAAGGCACAGTTTATCTATCTGTTTGACATTTATTTATCTCTAGATTTATTTCGCTTCTTTTTGGCTCACCAGTTGGCGGGCGTTTGTAACAGCTCATTGAAAACGTGTATGACTAGCGAACAAGAAGATAGGCAATCTGTTTGTCCGTCCGTATTTAATTAACTTTTTCCAATCTGCATCTAACTTACCGAAGAGCAGTTTCCAACGAAGTGATTGTCACAACTTACCACAAACTATCAATTGTCCAGCAATAATCAGGTGCGACTTGTTACGCACTTTGTTTTTTTCTACTATGAAATCACATATTGCAGACTAATGTTTGGTCTAAAAATGGAAGATTGCGTTAATGCGCATATATTTTTATGAAACAGAGTCGGACACCCGACGGTAAAAGCTTTGAGGACACCTTTAGAAGCTTTTACCGTCGGAAGAAGTTAAATTCTAGACGCACAATAATGTTAACTAGTTAACGATGTACTAATGTTAAAACATTCATGAACAAAGCTCTCAGCCTGACGATGAAAGTGACTATTTTAAAGGGGATGAAATGGAAGTCAATTGTATTGGCAGCTGTTATTGCTTTTCGCAGTGAAAAGACTTAACCTAAAGGGAATAGATACATTCAATTTTTGATTTGCTTTCTCTTGAAGACAGGCAAGGTCAAAGTGACATTAATCCTCTCAAACAATAAAAATAAGGGCGTTCTTAACGTCTGATAAAGTCGCGTTAGCGAAATGATCTGTTTGTTTGCAGAGTTGTCAATAAGCTAAAATAGGTAAATTTCATCTATATGCGACTATTGTATGGTGCATCGGTAAATACACCCTGTTAGATTGCGTCTTTCGATTTTGCTTTACATGATTAACACTCCCAGTTTTCGAACACAATTGACTACCTATCGCGCTATCGCTGCTTAGACAAATCTTGCATGACTACGGTTATAATTAGACAGTAAAATTTGTTGGCAGCTTCTCAGTAGACATTGGCATGTTTAGAGTAAGCCCGTTCTAAACACAAAGGCTTTTACATCGGCGCAATGACGGGTCCGTTATGATTTTGCCAAACACTTCTGAAACTTAAAAAAAAACCAATGGAATGTACCATTTACTAATCTCTTGCTCGTTCTTGTTTACTTAGCTATTTGTTGTTATGCCACCGAATAAAAATTATTTTAAATATTAATCGTAGTTGAAAAATTCAGTGATATCAGATCGTTTCAGAATGTAATGGATTCGATTGGAACTTTGGTCGGACAGTAAACGGATCCTTCATCCATTTTAAAAGGTGTGCCGTTCAGATGTTTGTACTGAGTAATCCCAATGTAAGCAATAATGTTTTACCAAGGTCGTTGATAAACTCAGCATATATATACATGTCGACCTTGCGCGCGGCAGTTATGTCTCTTTAGGTAAATGTGTGCGGCCCCGATATACTGTTATGTTTTCTGGTTTTAGTCAAAAATGGAGAGGAGATAGTTAAGGGATAACAATTGTTCTTGCATATGACATGGTAGCAAAATGTAAATCATATATATATCCGAAATAAAACTATTCTGACCAATGTTAGATTAGAAACGAACGTGTCACTGCAGGCCACTTCTTTGCTTGTCGATACGGCGCCAAATGAGTAGTTATAGCGCATGTATTACAATAGAAAATCAAATTTCCATTGGCTTCCGAGTTGGAAAAACGCAGAGCAAAACTTCGGTATCAGTTTTGGTTCCTAGCCAATTGGTTTAGTTTCGTTCGAAAGTGAACAAAGGGTATAACTTCTGGCTACCTACTATAGGTGATGATCCATTTGCTGAGGCGCTTTATCGCGTAAGTTACTACCCTGTCGTAACTTACAAAAGCTAATCAACAACAGAGTAGCTTCATTTTGCATATCGAAGGAAAGTAAAAAAGTTGCTCCGTTCGCAAGTACATGTATCCATGCTAACAGTGTGACTAAACTGCAATGTCGAGCAGGCGATAACACAACTTAAAATAAGAAAAAAAAAACATAAAAGAATATGTATTTTCTTTTATGCAAATACTGCTAGTAAATAAATAACATAACATAGGTGCCAATAACTTCATCAACAATGCATTTCTATATCATTTTCACATGCGATTTAGAT